TTTCATAGGAATAATGTAATAATCCACAACTTGTCAAATATAGTAAATACATATGTACATACATAGTACGTAAATGCGATTTGCTATTCGCACATTTTTTTATTTTATATTTTTTGGAAAACTTTACGATTTTTACCTATTTTTCGGCTGTGATTTGTTGTTGTCACTACTGCTGCTGACGGGAAGTTGTTGCCTTTGCTTGCTGCGTCTCATGAAGTTTTCCACGCAAATGTCTTGCGTTGCAAGGAAATTGAGTTTCATAAATTCTTCTGCTGTTGCCATTGAGTTTTGTTGCCACCTTAAGAACGATGGAGTAACTGCTTTTGGCGGCTGCGTGCGTTGTGTTGTTGTTGCTTATTTTTCCTTGCTCTACGTATGTGCTTACATTCCCCTTAATTTCCTTTTAACACCTTATATTTTTTGCTTCGATCTTGCATTTATTTTAGTTGAACCGCATTCTTTTTCTACCAACCGCCAAATTCCTCGTAACTTCATATTTCCTTAGACTTCAACTTTCTTTCTCTTCTCTTGAAGTTCATTTTGCACTCCTTGCGAGTGTATTGTGGCATTTGTTGGCTTAATTTTAATCTATCTGTAAACTTATTTCTAAAAGGTATTTTTCTGATTACCAAACCATGTCTCCTATAATATTTTATTTTCATTAGGAAGGAGAGAAGCTAACATAATATGCACAACTTCTCCGTGACTCGGACCTCATTATTGGAGATGAGATTTCGATGGTTCCTAAAGAAGAACTAAGCGTAATAGATCGACTTTTGAGAGACATAATGAATAATAGTTATCCTTTTGGAGGCAAAATCGTTCTGTTTCGTAGAGACTTCCGTCAAGTGTTTTCTGTCGTTAGATATGGCAGTAGGACGGCCATCGTTGAAAGTTCAGTTAAACGATCACCTTTATAGCGACAGGTTAAAACTGGCTTAGAAAAAATGTTTGGCATTTGCTGTTATCTTTTACAGTTGTTTTCATTTCTATTACAATTTCTTCCATTTCTAATAAAATTTATTCAAAATATGTACACTAACACACTGAAGCAAAAACACTAATTAAATCACCAAAAACACACCTACAGCCTGCTAGGAAAAACGTTAAGAAGAAGAGTTACTTTACTTATGGCATTGTAAGTTGCTTTATGATTTCTAAGAAGTTTTGTAAGGTTTCAGTTAAAATGACACAACGGTAGTTACTGCAATAAAACAAACTCCTGAAGCAAATATGTAACTGAGTTAATTTATTTCCATTTTATTCCCAAAAATTTATTTGTTCATTTTTTCCTCTTTTTGAATTTTGTTAAGCGTTAGCTTGCAATTCCCAAAAAGTTAAACCATTAACTTCAAACGTCCGTTCTTAAGTCAATCAAGGCGTGAGTGAAAGCATGAGTAAAGGAGTTGGTGAGTGAGTGAAAAGTGAGTAAGCGAATGAGTGGCCGCCACAGTGAGTGAGTGAGTAAGAATTTATGTCTTCGCTTTTGCTGTCAGCGCCGTCATTCCGTTTGGCTTGCGCTGGCTTTTTTCGCGCTACTTTCTCTCTGTGCCGCTAAGTTAGTTTGTCATGCTAGCTGTCATATCAAATGTTTTCATTTGACATATACATGACTTACACATTTTCTGAAATACGCTAATTTCATTCGAGAAGTTGTTAGAAATTTGTTCATTTATACACAAATTGGATTTTTTCAGTGGAATATCTTCAATTAAACAGGATGTTAAACAAAGTGGGGATACAGATTCCTCCGCAGAGGAATTCTGTCAAAATAATAAGAAAATGGAAAATAAATACCAGTGTCTCTAAAAAGTGTTCAATATCATTCAAGGCTGTAAAAATTAAAAAAAAAATATCGAGATATTTTTGCTCAATATTTTTTAAAGTTTGATTTTAGTATTTGTTACGTAAAACTACATATATGTTAGCTACCTATGTATATGTTTTTAATTATAATAATAAATACGGAAAAAAACTCGATGTTTTTTTTTTGGTATAAAAGTTTCAAAAACGATTTGAAACATTTTTTCGATAAAAAGATATAGATACCTTTTGCATTTTTTTTTATTTTTAGTAAATTTTTAAATTATTCATATACATATAGTTTTTCGAAGTTTGAAAAACTATCTGAAAATTATTTCCAAAAGATATCTACATCTATTTATCGAAATAATTTTTCAATAGTTTTTCAAACTTTTATCCCAAAAAAAACATCGATTTTTTCCGATTCTATGTATGTATATAAAAAGTTTAAATTATGTCATGCCTAAAATTTCGCTAAATTTTTCCGTAGTTCGATTTTAATTTTTTTTTTGTGTTTTTATCTTTAAAGTTTCTCAAATATTTTTTTATAAAGCAAAATTTTTATTTCAATATCTTTATTTTTTCATAAAATTTCTTAACAATTTTAGTAATTCTTTAAACAAAACTAAAAATGGTTAAAAACTATACAAGTTTCATTATCGAGTTTGTTTCTTAAAAATATCGGTTTATATCTACTATGTTTGTATATATGGGTAATTTTTTTGGTGTGAAATAATTTTTTTACGGTGTTTATCAAAAAAAAAAAACAAGCCAGTTAACTTTTTAATCCAACATGATATTCGTAAATCTGGGAAATAAATTTCCGGAATTTTAAACTCACAGCGAAGTATGTTTCTTAAAATTTTCGCAGCTAATAAACTATTTATCGGCGAAAATCCGTTATGTAATCAAAGTATTCGTCATTACCTCGGCTCTCCACAAGAGTGTGAGACAGTTTAAATAAAAATTGCGTTTGTTTAATATTTTTAATATTTTTTTTTTTAATAAATTTTTTTGTTCTGTTGCTATCTTAGTTTATTTATTTAACATATTAGCTCATATTTCTACTGTCTAGAAAGTAGAGGCCAGTCCAGAAGGAAATGTTTGATAGAAAAGCGTGTTTGTTGATTACAGGCAGAAGTTGGGGTTCGGTATTGTATCCCTTACATACGGATCTAAATACTTGTCACACTTTATGCAGTATACATACAAATTTTAGAATAGAGAAGTGTGTGAATTTTGCATGGAATGACCCATATGCATCTTTAAATTTGTATTTTTATTTTTTCATTTTTATTGCAATTTTTTCATGAAACAATTAAAATTTAAGAAAATTGATTAACTTTTCCTACACTTTCCGAAATATTGCCGATAATCTCTAGTAGCACACTAGTGTATAATTTGATGTCAATTTGTGAATTTTGGTACAATCTAATCAGATTCGTACCAAAATTAAGAAATTTACACCAAGTTATACACCAGTGTGCTACTTGAAAAATTTCTAGGAAAATCCACGCAACCTAATATATATTTACCGTTAACTAAAGTACCTTTCAGATAAATATACATCTGTAAACTTCCACTCTGCAAACTTGCTTTTCCCCATGCTATTGCGACTCCATGTAACCGACAACAGAGTCGCTTATCGAAGCTCTGTTACAAAACATTTGCTCCAGCTGTTAAGGCTAACAGAATCAAGAAAATTAGAGCTGTTAAATAGCCAGTGGAATTTAATCTTTAGATGACCAAAGAAATGTCAGGCTATTGTTCGTTAAGTTTAGCTAAAAGTTGTTGATTTTAAAGCTATGAGCTTAGCTTACGCACACAGCAACATACTTCAGGTTAAGTTATTTTGGTGTTAAAGGATTCAGTATGCATACATACATATATAAATGTTTGTAATAAAAATGTGTATAGATAAACTTAACGAAACTTTTTTGTATAGAGCGCTAGTGCGCTGAACCCAGAGCGCGCACTGCATGGCAGAGCGCACCATCAGCAAACAGAAAAGTGAGTTGATGTACTCAAAGAGCCAGCACTCCTAGAGCGATTGCAATTGACAGCCAGAGCACGAGAGCGCGCGCTGACATAACCGGTACATGCGCGCTAGTGGACCACCCGCACAAGCTGCTTTGGCAACAATTCCTAGCTGCAGCGCTGCCAGCGACCGCAGCCACCACGTAGCTATAGTCGTCCTAACAAATTGAGTATGCCATTCAGCTAGCGCTATGCCATTAAAGCTCTGCACAAAAAGTGACGCTTGCTGGCATGCAATGCAAATTAGCTGCAAAAATTTCGCCAAAAAACGGCGAGAGTACGCGCATACGCACTGCCGCTGCAGCACGCACGAAAAGTATTCGTTTTACTGATTTGGAAACAAATGAGCGCGAATTGGCTGTCTCGTCATCGCCCTGGGGCCAAAAAATATAATAGCGCGGCTGCTGCGTTTAAGGCACTGGAGCTTTGCGCTGTGTAAGTGCTGAGTGCGCTTACTTGAGCGCTAGATGGTTGTTTTGTAATTCTGCAAGCGCTGCGCTATGCTGTTTTTGGCGAAGCACCACAGACCAGTTGTGGGTAAGCGCTGCTAATACCGTGCTTGATTGAAGGGAGGCGCGTTTGTAAGCGCTCACTGTATGCGTTTAATTAAGCAGTTATCTAGGAAATATTTACCCTGTATACACGCGCTCTGTGTAATAAAGTTGGCTAAATACTCACTATCAACGTGCTGATACTCACGCTCTGCAAAGTATTGATGCTAATGCTTGCGCTCTAAGCCATAGTATGGCGGCGTGCTCCCGCAAGCTCTCTCGTTCGCGAGCGCGCACTTACTTCCTAGGGGGGCTTTTTACCCACACCTACACATGTGAACAACCGCTAGCCTAGACGCTTTAGCTGCCGTTAACTGACTTCCACTTCCGCTTGCCTTTACTGTCGACCTTTCGTTAAGTACACACACATAAGCGCGCATGGCATTCGATTTGATATTCCTGGAGCGCACTCTTGCGCGCATACATATACACATATTCCTCACACACACAGGGAGTTGTGCCAAGAGAGAATGAGCGCGCGCACCACCTCATTGCGTTCATATCAGCGCGCTCTGCTCCGATTGCTGGCGCTGCTTACCGCCTGCCTGCTTGCCTGCTGGCTGTTTTGTTGCCAGCAATATACACAAAATTTCAGTCTCAAAACGTCGCTCGCTCTAACGAAATCGTTGGGAAATTACGTGCGGATACCGGACGGAATTATCGCTTGTATATATCCGTCGCCGTGCAATATACACAAACGCGTATCGGCAAATTGTGCGTGTGTACTACACGCTGCACACGACGAAGCAAAAAATATTTTCAAGCTTGCAACAGCAAACTCGCGCGCGTGCTGAATGGAAAAATAAGCAAATCCAGCATGAAAATATCTAAACCAAGCAACGAAAATTTCGGCAGGAAATCGTCTATAGAGTTGAAAAATTTTTGGGTGTAAAATTAGTGTGCGTGTGAAAATTTATATATATAAAAGCAAAATTCATTGAAAAATATTCGAGCCAACAAAACGCAGAATTTCAGAAAATCAATGTGCAGCCCAAGTGGAAGAAAATGTGCAAACACTTAGAAAAAACATAGAGTGAGTGCTGTGCAAAGGAAGAGAATTGGAAATTGGAAAATTTTGCTTAGGCAGTAGTGCGAAAAGTGGGTGTACATACATACATATGTGCATGTAGTAATTTCTGCCCCAAAGCACCAGTACGAGGAGCATAAAAATCGAAGCAGTGGAAGCTGAAGCTGTAACTGAGCCTGAGTAAGCGGCAAGGCAGGCGGTACGCAGGCGGGCGGCTAGTCAGCAGCGTTTACTGCCGGCAGCAGCACTCGTCAACTGAATAGCAAAAACGCACACGGCTGCAATCACTAATTCGTGCGAGTGTATGCAAACTTTGTGATTTATCCCACCTACGCGTTGGATTTGCAGTTTGTTTATCAAAACGTTTAAGGGGAGTGCGTAAGGGCCGATGAAACCAATCGCCTGAGGAATCACAAATGGTTAGTTTTTTTTTTTTTTTTAAAGAAGCAATTAAAATTAATTTTGGTAAAAAATTCACTAAGCTTAGTGAGCAAAAGTATGCTAGAAGATGCTGGGCAAACTTTGTGATACGCCCAATCTCCAATACACTAAAGCGTAAAGCAAATTTGCAGGAGAATTCGAGCGAACCGCTTGAATTGGATTTTGATTTTCCACTGTAGCCTTTTCAACTGTAGCAAATTGTGTTGAAGCGTATTGACTTTAAGGCTGCAGGCATTCCGAGAAATTTAAGCTTAAGCTCCAAAGCCGACATCATAAAAGCAATGCTGTTGGGAGAGTGTGTTGCGAAAAAGTAGCCTTAAGACAAGTAATAAAATTTTTAGCAGGAAAAAATTTTCAGCAAAAGCCCGAAAAATCACGGCTGAACGAAATCAATAACCGAAAAAGCAATAAAAAGTGAAAAGGCAAGCGGTTCAACGTCCAGCTAGCGGGAGGAAACTAAGCAAAAAGCTGAGCCAAAAAAAAGGCATTTAACTTCCCACAGTAACACCGGACAGTTGACGAATAAAAAAGGCTTTAAAAGCCAAAGCGTCCTTCTCCTCCGCGGCAGTTATTTTGGTATGGTCGAGGCGGTCAATGGGAAAACCCGTTTCAATGCGTAAAGTTGAAACAAAAAAGTTCGCCAAAAGTCTGTAACTGACGCAAAGCGGATATAAAAATGTTGCAAAAAATAGCCAGAGAAAAAGGAAAAACAACAATCGTTGAAGCCAATACACCCGCTTATCCTTACTCGATGTCTGCTAGCATTTTAAGTAAATTTTATTACCATCACCCAAAGAGCAATCGCCCGAGGGACGTCCGGAAGGAAGCAGTGGTGGAGAATAAATGGATGGCAGAAATGAAAAATGCAAATTTGGAAAAATAAGTGATTTTAAAGTTATTGGAGCCGAAACGAAATTCTGGCAGAGCATATTTTATTTTATGGCAAAATATTTTAAATATTTCGAAGAAACTTAATTCACAAAAAAAAACATCATTGAAAAATTAAAAATTAAAATATTTTGGAAACAATAAGAGAATGCAATAAACAAACAACTTTATAAAAAGCACTTTATGAAAACTTTTGAAATTTAAGAATATGGAAAAATGCTGATACCAAAGTTTTTTGAAATTGCAAAAAAATGCATTTGTTTAATAAACAAGTATTAAATAGTATGCAAATTCGATACTGAAAATTCAAAAAATTAATGAAAAGTAAATCTGTTTTTTAATTTTTTTAATTTAAACCCTAAAAGGCAACCTAATTTCGCAAAAATATCATTCTTCAAACCATTAAATTAAAATTTAAAAACATGTATTTGTAATATGGAATCTATTGTTCTTCAAATTAAATTTAATAATTAATTATAACACGTATTTCAAGAATTTCAAAATTAATAATTATAGTTTGAAGAGAGTTAGGGAAATTTCGTAAAACTTTGCAAATCTCAACTAGTTTGAAATCCATAAAAACTTTCGATAAAAATATATTTAAATTTCTGCAAAAGCTAAACAAGTCAAAATTTGAAGTCCGAACAAAAATTCTAAAAAAATATTAAAACTCCAGTGAAAAATATTAAATATTCCAGACTTTTTAAAATTTCAAACATTTTCAAGCCTCAAAAAATAGACAAAAGATAGTTAGCAGAAGACAATTTAGAGCCAATACTAAATAAATCAATCATTTTTAAATATTTCAAGGACTTAAATTTTTCTATAAGCTAAAAAATTAACTTAAATTTTCGAAAATATTAAAATAAGTTAACACTGAAATTAAAAATAATGGTTTTTGAAGATTCAGAAAGTTTTCAGTAAAAATTATATAAATTATTGGAAACTTCAAGGTCAGTTAAAATTGTGTAGCATTCGATAATAAGCTGAAAAAATTTGATTTTGAGACCGAACAGATGTCATGTTACTTCATCAGTTATTCAAAACCAAAAAAAAATAATATAAGTATGAAAAATAAATAACAATAAATTCTTAAGCAAAAAAAAAACAAAACCGACTTCAGATCTCATATAAAAATTTAAGATTACCGTTAATTTTTTTATGATACAATGAATAAACCAAATTAGTATGGGACCTCCTCTGAGGTACCAGCTTTCCTCTATAAATTTTTCAATATAGAAATCGGTTAACGTGGTCCAAAGTTATGCTGTAACATACATTAAAAAAATATTTCAAAGAATTGATAACCTCCTTTTTCTAAGTCGGTTAAAAAAAAAATAAAAAATGGAAGAAAAAATTTCAAGTAACCACAATTTTTTTTTATCCTGAAGCATTCAAAAATTTTGAGAAGGATGAAGCATTTTATAAAAATTTGACTTTTCCCAGTTCGTTTTACAACTGAAAAATTTTCAAAGCTTTTTATAAAGCTATTTATAGCTTTTTTTTTACTATTTATAAAAGTATTGTAAAATAATAAATTTATACACGCTACATAATATGTAACAATGTGCAGAATAATATTTTCAGAAAAACAATTAATTGGGTTCGAAACTGATTTAATGCAATAATCCGCGAAATAAGAATGAAAATAAATAATTTCCGACACTCAGAAACGCGAACACCGGCATATTTTCAAACTTCTGTGATGTTTCACGGCACAAATTCAACGAATGAGAGCAATTCTATAAAGTAAAATAAAATTATCTACAGTTGTGCTAAAATTGTAAAATAAAGTATCACAAAATTTGCACAAATCAAACAAAAGTGAAAGATATTAAAATTTCAAAAGTAAAACCAACATAGTGAACCAACGAAACTGAAAATATTATTACAACAGAACCTCGAAATGTTAAAGCTCATCGTTAAGAGAATATAAACGCATAACCTAGCAAAAACATACGTATGTGTATTGAAAAAATATAAATTTTCAACAATACTGCAATCAGAAACCTTCAAAAGCTCATATCATCACACAGCAAACACCAATCACGCCCACCACCCTCAACTTCACTCCACACCATAACTCATTGTCCAACTAGCATCTCTTCAAACTTTTCTCCTACAACTGCCACCACTTCTTCTTCTTCTTCTTCTTCGTCCCGCTGTTTACATAAAAAGCCATCAAAATTAAGTTCTCAAAGCAGAATCATCACGCATACCGTCACACCGAGAACATCTACGACGGTGGCACCGATACTGACGACGACGAATGCCCGTTGGAGTCCACCACGATGAATCCGTATGAGTACGAAACGACACTGGACTGTCGGGATGTGGATGCACGCGGCAACGGCGGCGGCGGCGGCGGCGGTGGTGGTGGTGGTGGCGGGACTGGTGCTGGTGCTGGTGGTGGCGGTATGATGAGCTTGCGTCACAATCCATCCTCGACACATTCACATCAAAATACGCTGCAACATCAGAATCAACAAAATTTACAATTGCAACAACAACATCTACAGCAATCACCATACGATTATGAATACCAACACTTGCCACATCGCGCTGGTGAATTGGCCGCAGCGGCAGCGGCTGCAGCAGCAGCAGCAGCAGCAGCTAACAACAGCAGCAGTAATGCAATGTCAACGGCACAGCGTAATACACACGGCAGACCAGGCAAGTAGCTTAACAAAAATAAAGAATGACTACTATTAAAACATATATATGTACATACAGTGGCTCACACAAGTTTTCAAGTGTTGATTTTTTTTTTATTCACAACGTATTTCAAGTTAAATTTTTTTTGTTATTTTTTTATAGAAAAAAAGGTTGTCCAAGTTTTATCCAAAATCATATAAATCAGAATTTCAAACTTTTTACAAAATTTAGCAAAAGTCGTCAAATGAAAAAAAAACCAACTGAATTTTTACAACAATTTTTTATATGCAGTTTTATAGCCCAAAGAATTTTAGTTCCAAGAAGTGCAAGTTTCAACCGGTTAAAAAATCGTGTTGATTTCTAATATATATATATATATATATTTTTGGTGACTACAATGTCGGTTTTTCGTTTTATAAAACAAATGCAATTTACAAAGACTGGATTTAATTTTTTGATGATATGGAAAAAAAGTGCTTACTTATATGGAAAAGGAGTGCAAAAATTAGACAGCCAAAAAAAAATATTTAAAATTAAAGGGATTTTTTAGAATGCTTAGCACTTGAATTTCAGGACACTAAAATTGTACGTGCTATAAAACTGCATACACAATTTTTTTTTAAGATTCTGATTAAAAAACTCAAAATTTTTAAGAAAATTTGACGTATTTTCCGAAATTTTGTATAAACTTGAAACTCTGATTTATAGAGTTTTGGCTAAAGCTTGGAAAATATTTTTTTAGAAAAATAACAAAAAAATTTTACTTGGAAAACGTTTGAATATTTAATTATTTTACTAAAAAATTATACATATATTAAAAAGAAGATACAGCTGTATATGTATACACTTTTACTAGTGAAATAATTTTTGATAGATCGGAATAGTCTATTAAAATTTAATTAAAAAAAAAAATATAATAAAAGTGATTTTGTGTCAAGTTGGAAACTTTGCCACTTTTTTGATTTTTGTGGCATGTGCAGCTAAACTGTATGGCATTTCACTTTTTTTATTGCAACACCATTTTTTATACCCGAGCGCACTTGTGCACAAGGGTATTTTAACTTTGTTCACATAACGGTTGTTTGTAACAGGCAAAACGAATCGAGATAGATATAGACAAATGTATACATAAATGATCAGACTGAAAAGAGAAATCGATTAAGCGGTGACTGTCTGTCCGTCCGTCCGTCCGTCTGTCCGTCCGTCTGTGCACACGATAACTCGAGCAAAACTTAAGATATCTTAACGAAACTTGGTACGTGTACTTCTTTCGGGCGTAGGACGGATGGTATTGAAAATGGGCAAAATCGGACAATAACCACGCCTACCTCCCATATAACGGTAATTTTCAGAAATACGAAAACTGCGATATTTTAGTAACTACTGAAGATTATTAACTCAAAATTGATATTTATAATAAATTTTAGACGAAAAATGAAAATATTAACATTTTTTTGAAAATGGGCGTAGCCACGCCCACTTATGGTTACATGTGTATATCTTGGTAACCGCTGCACCAATTTCTTCCAAACTTGGCACAGTTGTTGGCCTTGGTACAGCATACCAACTGGCCGAAAATTTCTAAAATCGGACAATAACCACGCCCACATCCCATATAACGGTAATTTCGAGAAATACAAAATCTTCGATAAATCAGTAAATATTGAAGCTAATTTATTCAAAATTGATGATTGCAACAATTCTTTACCAAGAAATACGTTTATGATAAAATTTTGGAAAATGGGCGTGGCACCGCCCACTTATGATCACATATATGTATATCGGTAACCGTTCTACCAATTTGTACCAAACTCGGTGTGGTTATTGTGCTTGCCACATGAAAGCAAAGCATTGAAAATTATTGAAATCGGACTAAAATTAAGGCCGCTTTTCATATAACGGTAAATTTCAGAAATGCTTGAAACTTCAATATTTCGAAATTTAAGGACGCTAATTTACTTAAAATGTATACACCCCGGCTTATCATGTAGCGGTAGCTTTCGGAAAGGTGGAAAACATATATTTAATACTTGCGCCGGGTATTTAATGTTCGGCTCCGGCCGAACTTAAACTTCCTTACTTGTTTTGTAATACATTTTGCGGCTGTGGCATTTCTGTCATTGATTTCCTGTCTTACTTGGCATTTGTTTTTTGCCTTCAATGTTCATAGTCGTCTCTTTTATTGGTCAGCAAAAATTTAATTAAAATATTGTAACACGTACGCGCGCTCGTTGCACATTCATACGGTACGACATTCACTTATGCAGTTTTTGGTATTTGTGTTCAGTGAAAGCGTTGGATAATTGTCGGGAGGTGATATTCCGTAGTATAAGTAGCGTAAAGTACATACCCCGCAAACATATTCTGAGCGCTCAGAATATATGAGTCGGAAAGGAGTCCTAGGTAGGTAAGAAATATGAGTTTCAAAAACAAAAATTTTTTACTCTTATATGAATCTTTTAGGAGTCATATATGATCCAAGTTATGAACCAGCACTTTGTGCCAGTATAAAAACAATAACGACTAGAAATTTATATCTAAACTTGTTTATACAGATATGAAAAATAATTAGGAAGGAAAAATAAACAAAATTTAGCTGCAGCAACTGCTATTACATGAATGCTGCAATATATGTACATATATATGTATGCGCAGAGGTTTGTATATAAATATGCAACAGTATTTGAAATGAATTCCTTGCTAACATGGCTCTAAAGTAAGTTCATTAAGAGAGTTGAAGAATAAAGCCAATAAGAGTCACAGAACAGCATACAATGAGACTCCGAAAGTAGGCATTTATGAGGCCAATAAGTCATTTAAGAGCTACAAAAAGAGTCCAAAATGAGCCGTATATGAGGCCAATATGAGTCCAATATGACTCATATTGAGGCTCATTTGATGTATGAATTTTTGCTCATATAGGTCGACCTTCGCAGGAAGGGAAACACCCTCATTTTGGACTCTTAAATGAGCTCATTTTGAGCACAAAGGCTCCGAAATGGGACTCCTTAAAGACTCATTTATGACTCCAAATGTTTGCTGGGATAGTATGTATGAGTTCTAGAGCTTTAATAAACTTTATGGGATTATTATTTTTGAACAAATTTTAATGCCTTGAATTAAGCTTAGAATCCGTGTGACTTTAGACCTGGAAAGTCCACCATGGACCAGGTATACACCATACGCCAAATATCGAGAAAAAAACTCTCTAGAATAGCGCCGACACCCACCACCTATTTTTCGATTTCAAAGCCGCTTTCAACAGCACGAAAAGTATGCCGAGATGTCTGGAAATGACGTCGAATAATACCACCACCTCCGTCAGAATTGGGAAGGACTCCTGCAGCAAGAAGACGGCTAATTTTCCGAAAAGCACCCGTACGTCACCTGAAGTCGCGTCTTTAATTGGACCAAGCCAGAATAGCTTATTTAGGCGGTTACAGCGCCAATCAAGTAGAAGAAGAAATTAAGTCTTTACCCAGCACAGTGAAAAATGTGCGGCTTCAGGACCAATTTTTTCTTACAGCTGATTTGCAGGCGTATACGTCAGATATAGCTGTCCAAGTACGCTCCCCAGCATTAACGACAAGATTTCCGCTCTGTTATTATAGTGCCAGTACCCAAGATGCGACGAACGCATTCTATTAGTTAGAGAGAATAGAAAGTACAGCTGCATTTGAGAATTGAATTTCTTGGCATACCTGTGGCAAATAAAAATGTGCGATTCTTTTTCTTTAAAAAAAAAGAACTGAAAAAAACTTTTTTATACATACATTTTGTAAGATGTGCGTTCGCTAAGAGCATGCTATATACTTAATTTGTTTCTTACTCGAATTATTTATAAGTTTGCTAATAAATAGCTTTCATATTCGTCTACTTCTTTAACGAAAAATCTATTTTTAAAATTCCTTATATTATCGATTAAAACGAAAAAAAGACTATTCAACATAAATTTGCGTTTGGTATTTAATATGCTTCACTGCTTCAATTGTATTCGATACCATCTTTCGCCAGTGGTATTTCTGCTCTTGCTTCTAACTACATACGTCGTTTACCTTACTTTTCATTCTCTCTTGGCTGCAAATTTTATAACTCACATTTATTTATTTCTTTACTTTTATTCCTCTAATATCCATTTTTCATTTTTTTGCTTTGTTTCCTATTTCTGTACCTATATACTATTCATTTTTGGGCCCTTTTTCCATTGTCTCGCACTAACAGGCACACGTAGTATTGCGTCTAATCAAAACACGTCCCGACACAAAAAAACAGGTAGACGACAGACGATGCCTGATTTCAAACAGAATCCCGCTCAGTTACTTTATTCACAGCCAGACTATAGTAACACGAACACAAGCACAGCACACTTAAACATGTATGTACGTTGGTATGCCTGGGTATATTTGGGTGCTACAGTCTTCCAGAGTATGACTTTAATCAACAGAGAGGTGCTGTTGATACCAGCAACAATAACATAAACATTGGCTTTAAACAGCGCTGCTGCTGGTGTTGACCTCTTCACTTATAATTGGCCTGTTGTGCCGGACACATGCAGGCAGCCAGACACAAATAAAAGCAACAGCATGCAACATAGTGTTGCAACATACATATATGTAGGTACTGTGGGTTGAGTATCCCCAATCATAGTAGTGTCTCGAAGTACTTAAACTACAAGTATGTATGTATGTGTGTATGGCCAGTTTGTTAATTGTGTCCTCTTGTCAACCTGTCGCTCTCTGTTTCCACTGCTTGTGCTTGTCGGACCTTTGCCGCATTGTTGTCCATTTTTGCGCAGTCTTCAAAATCTTGGAGTGGCCGTTTTGTTCACGCTTTTGTTTTCCTTCTTTTTGGGTTTTGGTTTTTGCTCAGGTGGCCTTTTTGTGTTCGTCAGTATTCTTTTGTTCATTGCCTATGTGTGTAGGGACCAGCGTAGCACCCACAAATCAAAATTAATAATAATAACATGTAATTATGTGGTGCATTATGCTCGGAAAGGACCGTAGGATGTTGGTACATAT